GACCAAAGGCAAAATTGGGGTCACTGAAAGCTGTTACCTTTCCTCTGTTAAACTGATAAGAGGAAGCATTGCATTTATTAATGGTTTCCAGATATTGAGAACAATGTACGGTAAGGGCACAAAGTGAGATTCATAGAAAAATTTTCCTAAGAATATTTCCAATCCTTTCTCACACAAGAGAAAATGGGTTAGGGGTGTTGGGTATAACTTTATGGAACAAAGGGGCGGTGGATTGAAAAAGTTTGGAAATCACTGGTCTAAACAAAAAAAGGATAGACACAATATAGCTAATTTAATAGATTTCACAGCAGAGTTATATGGTATAAAATTTTATCTCACACAGACTTAGTGAAAGCATATGATCATATTCTGATACACCCACCAGATGTGCTCAAGACAGCTATCACACCATTTGGATTGTTTAAGATGCAATTTGACCTCTGAAATGCAGTGGAAAAATTTCAGTGTTTCATTAACAAAGTGATGAGAGGCTTAAAGGCCTTTGCAGATTATACTAGTAGTAACTAGTTTGAAAGAGGAACATCAGGACATCTAGAGGCCCTGTTCACAAGGTTACAGGAATATGGCCTCAATATCAAGCCTTAAAAATGTGTGTTTGATGTTATTTCCATACAATTCCTTAGATTCCAGGTATCAGGACCCCTGGCAGATCACAGATGGAATCAATATTGAAATTTCCCCAACCAACCCCACTCGTGAAATTACAATGATTTTTAAGTTTGTTCAGCTAAGGACACTTCATACCAAGAGCCTCTCACATCCTGGTACCCATTAGTTAGTTCAATTAGTAGGAGAGTATAAAGACAGGAAAAAGTCCCACCACAGGAATGCCAAACAACCAATATCACTATACCTGGAATTTATGCACTACTCACAACTGGAAAAAATTATACTATGGCACATCAACAGGCTCACCTCAAACCCTCGTCCCAAGAAAATTCCAATAGTGCATCTTCAACCAATTTTGCAATCTTGCTCATCCAGGAGTTACCACAATCATCAAATTCATTTCATCCTGATATGTATGACTAAACAAAATGAGGAAAAATTTCAGTGATGAATGAGGAAAGACATCAAATCATGGGTTCAAAGCTGTATACCATACCAGGAATCCAAGATACATCACCATAACCATCCTCAACTTTATACATTAGCTGTTCCAGATGCAAGATTGACCCATATACACATTGTTGGTCCATTGCCACCTTCACAAGGTAAATATTACTCTCTCCATCATGGACTGGTTTATTAAATGACCAGAAGCATTCCCAATTGCCAATTTCTCAATCAAGGCAATATGCCACACTATTTTCACGGAATGGATCTTACAATTTGGCTGTTCACTCACAATCACTATTGATCGAGAGAAGCAATTTGAATATATCTTGTTTTAACAGTCCACCAATCTCTTAGGGATTAGCAGAATTCAAAGAACTTTGTATCATTCCTCCAACAGACCTGTGGAATGTCTTCCCAGCTGAAGTCAGTGATTAAGGCACATGATAGCTTGTCCTGGCCAGACACCTTATCAATAATACTGCTGGGAATATGCTCTTCTTTCAAATCAGACATTCAGATGACAAGTGCCACCAAGTTAGTATACAGTAATATATTCCATTTACCTGGTGACTTTCTGGGTCTTACTTCACCCATTGATGCTACAGATACTATCAATTACATTTCTAAACTAGAATATCATGACATTTCTGCAACCAACTCCCACTTCCACACATTAGAAACCACACACATTCATACATTCAGAACTGAAAGCATGATCACACGTGATCCAACAATCATCGTGGTTGGATCATAAATCACACATGATTCATGATCCAACCATCTTAATATTAAGTCCAATATACACTGGACTGGATCAAATGATTGATCGCAATAACAAAATGCTTACACTGTTCTTGAATGGATGCAAATCAACAATTTAGTCTTAGTTTGTGTTCATACAGAAAATGAACTGTGACTAATTTAAGATACACAAATGTTTTCAGCATAATTTAGTGTTACAAACAGTATCCCCTGATAATGGCCTATAAATTAGACTGAAAACATTTCTGTATTTTTAAATAAATGTTTCTCGACTATTATAAGGAGGTTAGTGAATAATTAATTACTTATCTCTCTGATGGGTAGAGTTATGATTATCTATACCATATTTCATTAGGCTATCTTTTTGCTTGATATTAATATAGAAATTTATTAATTTGGACTAAAAGTAGACAGGCTTTTCTTATGTAATATTAATAACTATATTAATCTGTAAATAAATTTAATAAATTAGAATAATCTGGAAGAAAAGATCAACTTAAAGCTAAGCTCAAACCCACATTAATAGTCACTTCCGTTGCTTCTTGCTACTAATTTTGTTACATGAAAAATAATATCAATACTAACCAAAAGCCATCTCACAAACATTGATTCTGCCAATGAAATATTACTGCTCTCTGACATGTAGAACTCTCTATAGAAACTGGCTACTTGATTGAAACAAAATGCCAAACAACAGGACTGAAAATTAGTAATAAGAAAACTAGTTATTCAGATTGACTGTCAAGTACACCTACCAATAAATATTAAAAGAGAACTAACAAAATACGTTGACATTTCAGCTATCTATATAGTGTGATATCATGTGAATGTGATGAACAATTAGATATGAACCATAGATTAACCAAGTCCATACTGACTTTTCAATAGATGTTAAGTTATTTTTCAGTAACAATAATAAACACTGACACAAGAATAAAACTCTAGAAATCCATTATTCTGCCAAATGCATATAAACATGTAAAATATAGCACACAAAGACAAACTAATGCAGAAATTGAATGTTTTTCATCAAAGATATTTCATAAATATCTTTGTTGACCATAATTAAACCACATTAAAAACAAAAATAAAAAACAAACTCAAAGATTTCAAGACAGTCAATAAATATCACTCTAATAAGATATATCTTGAAAATGAATGATCTTCTAACTCCAAAACTGTAATTATACACCAATAAATAGTAAGAGGAAAAAAAGACAGGAGAATTTGATGCACTTCATTTATAAACCTGAGATCTCTTCATATTGATTAGAATAGAGTATACATTGCATCAGCCATACAAACTTGAGAATATTTGTCGTCTTACATGTCCAGTTGCACAGGCAGAACAAAGATTAATAAAAATGCATTGAATTTTCAAAAAGTTGTTCTAATTGCAATATTGTCATGTTTTAATCAATTCAAATTACTAAATAAAAATGTTTTCCCCTCAAAGCTTTATAATTTCTCAAATGTGGTTTATTGTCAGGGAAATGTTATGTATAATATAAAATTCAATGTTTTTTTTAAATACAAGGGTCATTCTAAAAGTAAAGAATGTTTGTTTCTCTAGATAATAATTTTATTTAAGATAATGAAACAAAACTTATTTTACAACATATATAATACCTTAGCTATATTTCTACATAGCTAAGCTTTTCTATGCCTTCTGCACACTCAGTTACTGCCAAGTTCTTGAACCAGTCATTAATGGCCTCTTTCAGTTCACTGTCACTTCCATAGTGATTTCTGGCTAAAAAATCCTTCAATTTTGGGAAAAGATGTAATCACTTGGAGCCTAGTCCAGGCTATAAGTAGGATGTTCAAAAACTTCCCACTCAAACTGCTGAAGCAAGTTCTTCATCAACACAGCAGCATGCAGACATGCGTTATCCTGAAGAAGCACAATGCCTCTGGACAACAATCCCTGCCGTTTGTTTCAAACTGAAGCTTCATTCATCACATTACCATAAACCTCAGCTATCTGTCTGTAAATTTTGATAGGGCGGACTTTTTTCGCATTCAAAAAGCGTATTACACTACAAACCTCACACTTGGCGAGATCTTTAATTTTGTCACACATTTCAAAGTCACACTGTAAACAGTAAACGATCGTTGTGGCTCACTGTTAGCATCAGACTGGCGCAAAAACATGGGAAGGTCCATGACGCAGTGGAGGGTGATGGGAGAACTGCACGACTTGTAAGATCAAAACGTTCTTTTCATTTAGAATGACCCTCGTATTATTTTTGAAATATAAACTTANCCTGACATTAGCCCTTCTGACTATCACCTATTTTTAAGCCTAGATAATCATCTGCGAAATTGACAGTTTAGAAATAGAGAGGTTATAGAAACGGAATTAGGGAAGTTTTTCAACTCTAAAAATCGTGACTTTTATAAAAATGAAATTTATAAGCTTGTTTCCCATTGGGAACAGGTTATTGAATGTGAGGGTGGTTATTTTGATGAATAAATTGTGTTATTTCCTATACATTTTTATGTTTGTTTTCTTTCAACAAAAAACGACAGAACTTTTTTGGTTACCTGATAGATAAAGCATTTGAATAAAATTTGGCATCTATCAGTATATGTATTTTTTCATAAATATCTTAATATATGTTATCACAATAAAACTCTTACTTTACTAATATTTTTATAATCAAAATTTATTAGCTCCAATGATTAGTCTTACTGGCTCATTTTCAAGACTTCAAATTTTCTAAATAATATTACATTAAAACTTTTCACAATTAACAAATTTCAAAAAGAACTTTTAAATTCTGTTTTTTCATTCTATCACAGAACAAGTTATAACAAATCAGAAAGATTGAATTTAGTAATAAAACAAACTGAGAACAAAAGCATTGATTATTCTTGCTTCATTTTATCCAGTAAGACATGAATCATTTAGATTTATAAATTTTGAATACATAAATATTCCATTAAAGTAGAAGTGTTGTTGTGATAGAATCTTTTAGGAAAACTATTCTTTTCCAAACTTCTTAATATCAAATCAAAAATGTTTAAAAATATGAATTAAATTAATAATTTTAAATTTGTTCATTGCTAATTATGTATTTTCAATAACAGAAAAATAATGATATGTAAAATTTATTTTGATCTGCTGAAGTAGCAATGCAACATGAAATTCCTACCCTTGTACTTCCTTCTTTATCTTTATATTCTGAATAATCACTTTCACTATGTCCGTAATAAATTTTATATTCTTCTATATATTCTGATGTATAAGGTCTTCCCTGAGTAGCAATGGCAGTAATGTTGTATTTATCTGGCAATTCAATTGTTAAATATTGGCTGAAATCAGCAATCTTTGCAGTCCATGCTCCACCTCCTGAAAGATTTGTAATGAATTGATACCAATTTTCAATTTATTGATTAGTCCATCACCACTGCCAGGTTAGTCAGAAAAGAAATTATTGCGATGTGTTAGTGAAGAGCATTATAAGATGTGAATTGACATAGTATTACAAAATGTGAAGATAAATACAAATACTACAAAGATGTGAATTTATCCCTTTAAGTAAATGTAATTATTAAAATAATTAAATTATAACAAACACATAATACAGAAAATACGGTTTTAAGAAAAATCAAAATCAAAAATATTTTCAAATTAACAGTTAATAATTTCTAAGATGTTTATTTATAAATTTATTATACATAAAAAGAATACAGATGGACAGCTCATTTCAAAAATGTTTCATGTAAAAAGTAATAATCTGTTTTCTACTGTTACTTTAATAACTATATGTTACATCATCTATTATTATATTTAATATATCTCACATAAAATTTTCTGCAATATTTGGCTAATTAATCCCTTGCATTTTGAAACTCCGGATCTTGTTTTCTTGTTTCAAAATCCTAATTTTCTTGTTTCAAAATGCAAGAAATTTATGCAAGAAATTATGAAATTTTCTTGTTTCAAAAAACAAGAAAATAATTTTCTTGTTTCAAGTGTATGTTTTAAGGGAACTTTTGAAAAGCACTTTTGAAATAAGCTATACATTTTTAGTTAATGAAACATTTTATTAGTATTTATTTTTAAAGAATAAATTCTGTAAATAAAAACTATTATAACAATTGAGACTTAAATAAAAATACAGCTTGGTGATGCAACACATCAAATAAACGTATTTTTAGCATTTAAACCCAAATGCCAATTCCAAACGTAATAAATAATACATCAATTTGAAGATAATTTTGTAAGGAATTTAAAACTTTTAATAGAATTAAAACATCAGCATTATTTTAAAAGTTAAGATAAAAAAAATGACACTTGCAAAACACAAGTGGCCAACAACTTGATCAACCCACTACAGTTCTCTTGGATATCCAATTTCCATTATATAAAGGGTTCCTCTCACATGTGATTATCATTTCAAAATTGAGAGTACTGCATTGACACTTCTGAAGGGTTTCTTTGTTAGTTTCAAGTAGGTTTCAAGATAAAGTGCTTATTATGCATGCTAAGATTATTGCTCTGTACAATGAAGGAATGTTCTGTTGACAAATTGCCATGAAATGTGGCTATCATCACTTGACAGTCAGCAGATGCATTAGTAATTTTAATATGATTAACAGTTTGGAAGATTAGTACAGAAAGGAAAGACAAAGGAAAACTATCATAAAAAATAGCTATAGTTTTATTTGATTGAGCCACTTTGAAAGCAATGAAAAATTGAAGTGTAAGTGATAACTATAGTTACCTGTATAAAAAGTAAATCACACTGAAAGAAAAAAGGTGGAACTTCTTTATAGGCTTGTGAGCTCTCGAGCCTACAAGTCTAAAAAGAGGCCTCTAATTAATAAAAAAAAAAAAAAAACAGAGGGCCAAGTGTTTACAGCAGGTGTACAGTTGAAGGATAATAGATTAGGAATCAGTGATGTAAGATCATCCGGAGTGATAAAATAGCAATCTCTTTGATATCCAAAGAAGCAACTTTTGTCCAATACAAAAGAATGACAGGATCAAAACTATTCAAAACAGTATCCTATTGCCATTAGCATCTGAGGATGCATCTCAGCTCATGGGAGTGCATAAGCTGCATATTGTTGAAAGTGCTGCCCAATATATGCACAATCTTAGATCTTAATCCTTTGGATCAAAGTCTTTTGGATGAAACTGAAACAGAAGATGAATACAAAGAATCAAGCATATAAAGTACAGTTAAGTGAAACTAATTCCATGCTGGTATCATCTAATATTAGAGGAAGAGCTTGAAAAAGCTTGTTAGTAGTATACCCAGAAGATGTGCTTTAGTAATTAAAAGTAAAGGCTTCCCAATTAAATATTATTTGTATATCTTCAAACATATCAAATGCTGATTAACAACATGTAAAAACTTTAATGAATTCCAGTTTTATAGTTTTTCTTTTTCCTGATTTAAAAAGTTTCTTGTAGTTAACAAGAAATAAAAAATGTTTATGTTAGCTTTGCAATTTCTGTCAGCCCACCCATTTGTAAAACAATGCTACTTTAATTCTGTAAAAAAGTTATAAATTCCTTACAAACTTGTGTTCAAAAATGATACATTATATTTTCAAAATGGATTCAAAATCAAAAAATATGTTTTTATAAAGTATTGCAAGACTTTTGCACCAAATTGTATTTTAAATGTAAAAATTCATATTTCCCAGTATTTATTCCCAAATGAAAAAAATATTATCCTAATATTCTAGTTAATTAATAAAATCAAAATCCAAATTTCAATATATTAATAGAAACTAACATTAAATAAGTGTTTTCAAATTCAAAGATTAAACTTAGAATTGAATTCAAAATTTGAAATGAATTACCATATTTCCCAATGTATTTCCTAACTTCCCCTAAAATTCATCTCAAAACCAGAATGCATCTTATATGCTGAAGGTTGAAATTTCAGATGTTTGTATATGAGTTAACACTTCATAGAATGCAACGAAAAGGTTATTAATTAAGTCATTTAAGAAGCAATTAAGAATGCCCTTGATAGCACTGAAAATGATTTACTTTCTAAAGAAAGCAGTGATTCTGATTCAAATACAGAAGACCTTTCAGAAAATTTGGTCCAGCTAAGAAGATACAGATAAAGATTAAAATCATTACCGTAATCCTATATTCACAGTAGATTTTTGAGAAAACAAATTTGGAGAATTTTTGTGTAAAACAAAAATTTTCTAAATTTGTTTTCAGTCAATTTATTATCATACATCAAATGAACAGCTGGTTTCCTTTATTGGGCTATTAAGGCTAAATGATTACTATGTAATTTGGCAGAAGATAGACAGTTTGATAACCATCTCTTATTAAATTTAACAATTATAAATAAATTTCATTTAATTTTAAAATATTCTGAAAGAAAAGATCAAACCAGAGCGGGACTCAAACCTGTAATTTCTATTTACCATGCAGATCTCCATCTGATTCCCATTTCCAGACTAATTACTTAATTAACTAGTCTGGAAGTAAAAATCAAATAGAGGGCTGGATAGCATAACTGACAATGCATCTGCACAGTAAGCAGCAGTTGTGGGTTTAAATCCTACTTTGAATCAATCTTTTCTTCCAGAATATTCTAAAGTTAAATTAATTTATAATTATTTCATTTAACAACAGATGGCAGCCTGACTGTCTACCTCTTGCCAAATTACTTAGTAATAATTTTGCCTCAATAGTCCAATAAAGGAATCCAGCTGTGTGTTTGATATATGATAATACATTGACTGAAAATATATTCAGAGAATATCTGTATAAAAGAATTATGTATTAAGAAAAAAATATAAAATTGATCAACAATCTATAACTTTTCAGTAATTTTTTCTTAAAAAATGTTCATGAAAAACAATGGCATCCTATATATCAAAACATCTTATACATCAGAAAACACAATACTTCATTCTATATTGAAAAATATATTTCATCAAAGTGATTTATGTCAAATATTTATATAAAATTTAATGTTGAATGCTTTGAATCTGAAAATATACTTTCTACATTAAGAAATTAATATTTTACTTTGTTTTGTCATTTTATCATGTGTAAAGAGCAAGCGATACTCCCAAAATATAAAATTCAAATATACCATAAATATAATATCAATACAAAGTTCATATAATTTTATATTATTTTTAATTTTAGTCTATAGTTCAATAGACAGGAATGCTACATTTGTTTACATTTTAAAAATGTTCTTTTGAACTTTTTTCAGCAAACAATCTCATTATGAGATTTATTCACAACAATGTTTATCTTTATTTTAAAAAGTCTCAAAAATCAACAATTGTTTTGTAACCTAAAAATTTATGACTCATTACAAAGATTTTGGGCTTTTCAAGAACATTTTAAGTGAAAAAAAAAGGGGGAAAAACATTTCTTCATTTTTCTAATTTCAATTGTCACAAAACCATATTTAAGTTAAAAATTGTTAGACACCCGACAGCCAATATGCCATCCTTATGAGGTAACATCAATAGAAACTCTACAAGACAATTAACTTAGAAACATGATGGGCTTCATGCATATCCCAGTTAAGGAATTTCATTGGACATCAACCAGATTTTTCGCTTGGGACATAGCAAGTACTAACTAGAGATGTACCAATTAATCGTTTCTCATCATTAATTATACTAATTAGCTCCTCTACCAATTAATCATTAAGTGACAGAAATGTGAAGATGATTTAATTTCTTCTATATTTTTAATTGTGTTAGTAGAAATGTGTTAAAGTGAATTTCATATATCAAGATTACAATAAATTCAGATGAAGAAAATGTCAGATTTGCTTTAGCTTAAAACACAAATTGCCTTTATCCATTTGTTATATAATTAGATAAGAATTGTTTAGTGGCTTTTAAATTTTGACAATTTACAGCTTTGATGAAAACAAACAAAATCTGTCTCCTCATTTTCAACAAATTTATTATATAAATCTAATCAAATTTAAAGAAAATTGAATAGCAATTTGTAAATAAAGCTTACAACATATCCAAATAGTTCAGTAAAAATAATTAAAATAACCTGCAATTTCAAAAACAAATATATCTTATTCTGAAATAAAATAANTATACTTTAATTTTTTTACAGTTCAGGACAGTGGCTTTCAACCTATCTTTCATGATATCTAGGGTGTCACAAGATATCCCTTAGAAGTTCCCAATATTTATTTTCAAAAATTTATGAAAATTAAATTATCTACTGCATGACAAATCTATGCCTCACATGTGTGAATCCTTCCATACAGTAAATTAGTTGATCTTAATTTATATTTACTAAAATATCTCTACATACAACAGCCAAGTTAATTCTATTTCAGGTAAATTTGCATATTTCATCTTTTATAATTTTAATCA